TACAAACAATACACATATGGATGGAGCACCATCACAGCACAGAAGACCACACTGGACCCAGAGTTGAGGATCCACTCCAATGTCCTTAATGGCAAACAAAACGCACCTCCCATCCACAGTTTGATCGCCTGCACCGGAAAGCGTAGTACCGCAACATGGAACATTGCAGTGCAACTTGGGTCGCAACTTAATGACAAAGGACAAATGTGGGTCCCGAGGTTACACAGGTTGAGAACCACTACTTTAAAGCATATCTAAACTCAAAAGCAAAAATGTAATATATTGCAGTGTACCAGTCCTTAGATGTGGTAGCTGCATTCATTTTCTTTTTTAGTATTGTTTCCTTTATTTTCCCCTGGTGATCCTGTGAACACACTTCCTGTCATTTCATGTCTACACTTATTTCTCCATTGTATCTATGGAGGGAGCAATGGTTGTCACTCGGGCTTCAAACATGTCTATCTTTGTTCATAATGATGGGACATTGCATTTCTGGTAGGATCAACAGGTATTTTGTTTTAAGATTGAAAAGTGGAAAAACGAATGCAGCCACCACATCTAAAGACCGAACAGGTGCAATATATTACAACCACTCACAAATACTTACCTTCACCTCCCTTTGCTTCTTCGCTGTTCTGTTCATTGTGAGAAGACACTGAAGTCAGGGCTAACACAGGGATGAGGACTTTATCCTCCCCTCCATGTGACAGTGTTGGGCCAATCACCGAGCACCCACACTGTTTCATGGGAAGAAATATGTAAGTCACATGATTCAGCTAGCCAATAGTATGGGGTATTCGCTATTTTACCAGCAGCAAATGGAGCAGCAGAGGAGGGAAGAAAAAGAGATGATATTCAGGGTGGAGGCAGGTGGGAGGCTGGACATTATTTTCTAACTGTCACTCTACTCTGCATGGGCAAAACACAGGTTCACTTTAAAGCAAACCTGTTATGAAACAATATGGAGCATTGCTGATTTCCTAGAAATTCTATGTGCCAGGCTGTCATGCTGATCCAATGGCTTCAGTATTGTGAGCCACTGGCCTGGAACTTGTATACACAGCGGCGTCCCTAAACCTTTTTCCGCCTGAGGGGGGAGGGGGCTAGAGGGGTCGGGTGGTGGTGAACAACAGTGATGCCGTCATCTGTAGACCTGGGATGCTCTTGCTGGCATCCTGCCCAGCTCCTGGCACTGGTTGACAAGAGCTGGCTGGGACGCTGGCCAGAGTGTCTCAGGTTGCTGAGAGCTGGGCAGGGAGTTGTGTATGTCCCATAAACATCTCCCCACCCAGCACTTTGCAACCTAGGATGCTCTGGCCAGAAAGGTCAGAGTGGCCACTGTACAATAAAAATGCCCCTCTGCATGCCCCCTCCCCATGTGACACAAACAAATGCTGCCTTTTGTCACAGTCTCAAGGTGCCTCATTAAACGGACAGCCCTGAGTATACAGATGAGAAGTCCTTCACTTGTTCTGGGTCAGTTACTCACAGTACGGAAGAAAGAGGACCTGCATGACAGCCAAGCAATTGGCATTTTCTGTCAGCCTCCATGTTTCTGTCATTGCAAGTTTTCTTTAACAATAAAAATGAGCTGTACAGTAGTACTCTGAGCATACTACACACTGCACTTGCATAGTGAATGTGAAGGTGAAGCCCTCACTGGTTTGTATAACCTTTTGCACACTGTCTGTCATCACTCACTAATAACAAACAGCAGAAAGTTGGCACTGCTCCCCGCCAACAATATTAACACATTTGTAAGGCAATAAAAACAATATAAACGTAACTGGATAAGTAAGAAGGTCAGCATCACATTAGAGGCTTAATAAGGACATATTTTAGGCTAGAACAAAAGAAGAGAATTGGAGAAATAAAGCAGTATAGTCTGAAACAAAAATCCTCAAATGTATGATTTTCTGATCGATGGCAGACAGCCTTGGTGAATAAACCTGGTGAGGTTTTTGGACTAACATAAGCCACAATCACTGCCAAACCCCAAGCCTTGATATGGACCTGTAATGGTCAGCATTGTGGGTGGGCCAGTGTCTTCCACATAAAATTGATTTCTGACAACTGTCTGAAAGTTCCCTGCGGAGCGATAGGCGGAGGAAGGGACATGACTGATGCAGGTCAGACCTGAACAAGGAGTTAGGTGAGTATTGGATGGAAGGGTGTTTTTTTCTGTTGTGTTTGAAAAGGGAGAGGTAGGGCCAGCTAGCATAGTGATCGGTGGGTTTAGCTTGTGGGGTTAGGGGGCCATCTTACTGTATAGTGTGAGGTAAGGAACCATTTTAGGTGATAGAGAAAAGGAGTCAGTCCCGCCCACCCTTCCCGATAGTATTTCAGCTTGTTGTTTTTTATGTTTCCTAAGGGTTCATTTCCGCAAGTGTGGAATTTGGGGAGGAGGGATACATGTGTTCTAGTTCGGGTTATGGGTATTCCTTTGCTGTGTTTAAGGTGGAATTTGTGTTTTGGGAAATATGTCTGACTTATTTTTCTTCTAGGTTGGTCGTCCCTTGGGCGGGTCTCTGGCAGTGCCATACATCGACGACGAAGAACTGGCTCTCCGCAAAGTGAAAAAGAGTGGAGTAGTAGGGAAGTGCCAATGGTGGGGCTGCTGGGCTCTATAGCTTGGTAGCCAGTAAGAACTTGGGCAACTGTTGGTGGGAGTACCCACTCGGGCCAGAATATTGGCGGCTGGTACAGTAAACAATGGGTCATGGTACACCCCCGTAAGAGGTGAGTGGAGTTTTTTGGCACTTGTCAGGGACCAAAGTATTTCGTTCTTGCTACATAGTATGTTCTGCTATTATTGTAAATGTTTACATCGCTGTGGCTATTCAACCTTCCAATAAATGTTATACATAATGTTATTACATTACTAGTTCTTTGAAATTACTGTGTTCAGTGTGTTATTTAGGTGGGAAGTGAGGGTTACTTGGCCTTGCAGTCAGTCATGTATTATTACTAGACTGTGGTAAAAATATTTCACTCTGGATTCTAGACTAAAGATGGCCATACAATGTTAGAATTTCAGCCGATTCAGAGATTTCAGCCAACATTCTAACAGTGGGTGGCCCTGCCAGCTCAACAATCTGCGTTGAAGGAGCCGGGTTTAAAATTGTCAGCCATTTAGCTGCTGTCACTGTTGGGGTATTCTGACAGTGGTGTTACAGCCCATCAGAATACAATAGTCTGGCGGAGGGGGGATTCCTCCATCCATGATGTTTAGTGAGGATGAAGGAATCTGTTAGATTTCTTTCACTCTGTGTATAGCCAGCTATTAGTGTATGGCCAGCACACAACAACTGCCTGGGCCCTGATCACTAGTTTATCAATACAGGACTGGTGGCTTTCAGTGCCGGTGTATCAGGCTCAAAATAGGATGAGTGTAGAGACTACAATCCAAAAGGAACCTGCTCTCCAGGAAATTAATTTGCCCCAAAGTTTATGCTGTCACTACACTACAACTTTCTGTCAATCTCGAGAAACTGCAGGAGTATAAATCTATAGAAACAAAGAAGCAGAATGGACTTGGTAATTGCTATGATCAGGAGTTATTTGTGAAGGTTAAATGCTAGGGTTAAGGTTACAGTTTAGATGGTTAAAGAGGATCTGTCAGTAACTTTAAGTAATTAAGCAGCCAATTGCTAGAACTGAACATTGTCATGCAGGGGAGAAGTGACTTCCTAAGCATCCTAAGTAAGATGCAGCATCATACAGTGATGGAGCTTACAAGTTACAATCCACCCTTTGTCGGCTCCAGCATCATATAGTGATGGAGCTTACCAGTTACCATCCACCCTGTGTAACCTCCAGTGTTATATAGTGTAGGAGCTTACCAGTTACCATCCACCCTAGTGTCATATAGTGTAGGAGCTCACCAGTTACTATCCACCCTGAATATATTCCAGTGTCATATAGTGATAAAGCTTACCAGTTACCATCCACCCTTTGTAAGCTCTGGTGTCATATACAGCTGAAGCTTACCAGTTATCATACACCCGGAGTATGCTCCAGTGTCATACAGTGATGAAGCTCACGAGTGTGGATA